TTTTGTGTAAGAGATCACATCTACATATACTTAGTGTATATATGTAGTGTTGCAAAAGTTATACATCAGTGTTGCAAGACTTAGTGCATAAATAGAGTAGATTATCTTTGAAGTCTCAAGAAAGAGAGTAAGGAAATTAGGAACTAATTACAGGTAGTTTTAGTTAGTTAGCTAAGAGTAATATAAGAAGCTAAATGAGGTTCTATAAGGTCAAAAGAACGTATATACAAAGTATAAGCAATTAATTATACTATATTTAGTCTCCAGTTTCCTTACATATCTATTAAAGAGTTTGATTACTAAATACAATAATCCCAAGTTTTCAATGCTATACTCATCCACAGTAAATTACATTATTACCCATGCCAACCTAAACCACTGCAAAAAAAACCTCTTAATAGAAATGGTCTGCAGAAAATTTAAATCTACAATCCTAAATTAAATGTTAAATTTATTAATATGTTATTTATAAATGTAATAATACAATAAGAATTAAACCCGTAATTCTAACCTAATCTTGAATCTCTAAAATTACTCAAAATATTATGAAGGAACCGATAAACCCACCCTGGTATGCTAATTTGTAAATGCAAAGTTGCGAAATCTTTATTGTCTCGACTTTATGACCTTGTCAATACAAGAAATAATGTGATCAAATGAATAGTTCAATGGCTTTGCGAAAGTATGATCAATTCCAGCATTCTCATAAATTATTCTGTCACTTGGTAAGCTTTTAGTGGTAACGGCAATGATTCCGACCAGGTTCAAAGTGTCTTCCATCCTAATCATTTTTGCTAACTCTATGCCTGTAACTACCGGCATCTCTATGTCGATAAACGCTACATCGAATACCTTGGAGTGTAGCAACGCCATTATCTTTGTTGAATCTTGAGTCTTCACAATTGCACAATTAGGGAATAATTTAAGGAGGATTCTTTCTAATATTTTCAAATTAATGAAGTTGTCATCCACAAGTAAAAAGTTGTATGCATTAGTATCTGGGGTGAATTCCCTGAACTCTCCAAGTTCAATTGGTGATATAAATTGTTGGTTGCCACGAAACGTATTCACATCGACTGATAATTTAGGCTTAAAGTCGCAATCCGCGCTATCCGCCTTAGTATTTTCTTCTGCTACATTTCCATTCACCGGTTTATAGTGAAAGTAATCCATTCTATAGTCGTAATCTGGACTTGGAAGTACCGGTGGGGTATCAAGTTGGTTGTTGTATATCATATTGTTTGTCTTGCTAAAAACATCTGCCGAACATCTGCTTTGTGTCGAACAACTTGATCTCAAATCAAAGTCAAACTGTAACTGATCCATAACAAGTTACAATGGTATAAAGAAATGACTTCTAGTTAAGATAATCTTAAAATGTGCTTTTTAATTTAACTGTCAGGTACCATCTTAAAAATTTTAAGACATGGATTTCTGAATATATATACTGTTTAAGCGTGCACCGTAAAAATAGCGGAGGTGTTGCGGGCAGCAATTTTTTTCCACTATAGGTAGCAAGTACTGTGCATACGCGCGGAACATTCCATGGACGCCTTCTTATCGAAGGCGGGCCCATTTTTGCCCGCTACAACCGCATTTGCCTAATAGAGTATGTTAGAAGCTAGAGTGATCCCCTCGCTAGATGAATAAACCCCATGGGACAACCATACACAAAATATCCTCTGTATACTTGAACAGAGAAACCTAATAATGACGGAGTTGAGTCAATATCACTGAAGTCGTAGTATGGACATACTCGTCTGAGATGGTGCATTTTTTGCGGATGTCAAGGGACGGAACGATAAGCACTAGAGCCGAAGATCTAGATTTGAGATATTATGTTGAGTATAGAAGAAGAAAATTTCCCGATTACATAATCAGGAACAAGAAACCAAGATTTTCGTCTGGAATCGCAACAATACCTTCGAATTTTCAATTACAATAAAGAGAATAAAATGTCCCGGATCACACTACTGGGGGAACGCATTCCTTTTGGGAATTAGAAAATGAGCAACATTCACAAATGAAGATCTCACTACATGTAAAGTTTAGGTACAGAATGCTTACAAAGAAGTAGAAGTAGGTAGAAGTAGCTAAACGAGGTTCAAGCAAGGTTCTGTTTTAAGTGGGTTTGCGGAAAATAACAGTCAAGAGATCATTAAAGTGGGTCTTAGAGTTTTATTCGAGGCGTGCGGAATCACCAGAAAAAGTGCACTGGTGGGACTTGAGAGGGACCACAACGGGGGGAAGCGAACATTTACTTAGGTCACTTTTTTGGGGTAGAGATTAAGTGTGGTGTGTTTGTTGAACGTCCTACTGGGGATGACTGTAGTAAGCGGACTTATTGCGTAAATCATGATCGAGACACTAGGTTTGAGAGAAAGCAAATAATTTTGTAACAGCAAAAAATTAGTACCAAAAAATTAGGGGCTGACGTATCAGATTTCATTTTGAAAAATTTGCTACAAAATAATCATCGGTTTATGTTTGGTTCTGTGGTCCGATGCACCTATCGCAAGAAGCTCTTTTACGGTTTGTGGGCTTTGTCAAATAAAATTTAAACCATATTCTCAACTCTACTTGCATTAGGAATACTAGTCTTCGAGCTCGACTCAAATAAGTCCATCACATTAAATTATGCTCTATATTTCGTAATTCACCTATTTTTCTTGTGTTGAAATAAATGAAAGGAGATAATTTTAGTACTAGTCTTTATGATTATGACACGGACTCGATATAGGGCTACTTAAAGTCTATTAACAAGAGTGAGTCATTTGTAAGTTCAAATACAGAATTATAACAAAACCATTACTTTTATCAAAATGTAATTATTACCTCTATAAGACACATATATACTATGTCTATACTTATCATTTCCAACATTGGAAACATTAAGCTCGTATGGCGCAGTGGTAGCGCAGCAGATTGCAAATCTGTTGGTCCTTAGTTCGATCCTGAGTGCGAGCTTGATTTGAGGTTTTTACAACCATTTATATTTTTATGATTCTAACGCCCTAGTAGATCATATATTTTTACTTAGATAAAACTTCTCCATAGTTAGAATACAGCAAGAGTTATAAAGCCATTAATGCCACCTTCGAGTATGTTTATATTGGATCCTAAGTCTTGAAAGTTACTAACATCATCCTAACAGAAACATATAATCCAAAGTCTTTTAAGCCTTTGATACAATCCAAGTCAAATAGACCATCCCCTGTAGAAAAATCTCTTGATTTACAGATTAAATACTGGTTGAAACGTAAGGACTTGCTTGTGAAAGCGGTAAAGTATCAGAAGACAAACGAGTTTGAAAAAATTAATGATTTGATAGAGAAATGGCGAAAAATCTGTCACCAAGCCTCAAATTATCTACTAAACTCAATGCAAGTTAAAATTATGCATATGGGTGGCCATTCTGCATGGAAACAACAACAAAAGGATAAGAAAGCAAATCAGTCTTTCGGCAATGAGTCTTGTAGAGAGAATTTAAGTGATTTTGTGAATAGTGAAGAGTTCACGCATCTATCAAGTTACGAACAGAGTGATTTAATGGAACAGTTGAATGAAACATTAAATGAGTCTATACTGGAGAATGAAGATGAAGGAACATTTCTGGACGACCAGCTAACCATGCATGAACTATATCGCCTTTTAAACCTTGATTATGATTTGATTTACAACTAAAAATATGATGCAAATAATTCTCACCTTGCTCATTGATTATCAAAAGTGCTTAAACTATCAATGTTAGTTGTAGATACTAAAATAATCTACCTTTTTATATGTTTCCTTTTTTTTTCTAATTTTGGAGTCATTTCGCTTAATCATAGTGAAAAAAAGTGCAGCGATATTGTGTACCAAATAGGAAAAGTAATGAAAATTTAAATGCAGTTTTCTGTGTACTACTTATCAATTTGTAAGATAGTTTGATTCATAATATTAGGGCAAGAAGAATAGTTATCAAGAGTTATTTCAACGCATGAACAAAGTAATTCAGGACATTACTTCGATATTTATAAACTGGTAAGATGACTAATACAAAAGTTATAAAAATTAGAGATAAGACTGAGCGATATGAAAATTTTAGTAAAACAAAACTCCTAGGTTTTTTGAAGACACTAGTATTTGAATTGGATACCGAATATATAAACCTCGAAGAAATAGTAAATAAAGTTACTGATGGGTTGCCAGACTTAATCACAGTGAAAGATTTATTAGAATTATTAGCAGAATCAATTGCCACCAAAATTATTTATCATCACGATCATTCAATATTAGCAGGAAGAGTGGAGGCAGTTAATTTACAAAGAATGGTTGGTTTTAATTTCAGCAATAATGTTATCCGAATGAGAAATTATAAAAGTAGCAAAACTGGAAAAAGTTATGGTGTAGTTTCCGATGAATATTTTAAGACTGTCATGGAACATAAATATATATTGAATTCGATTATAGATAGCAAAAGAGACTTCGAATTGACATATTTTGGGATTAAAACATTACAAAATTCATATTTGTTAAAGTTGGATGATGTTGTTAGTGAAACACCTCAGTTTATGTTTTTAAGAGTTGCCATAGGCATTCATGGTAATGATATTGATAGTGTTATAGAAACTTATGAATTAATGTCGAAGAAGTATTTCATACATGCATCACCGACATTATTTAATTCAGGAACTGAATATAATTATTTATCTTCTTGTTTTTTACTTGCCATGGAAGATGACTCAATAGACGGTATTTACAAAACATTACATAAGTCTGCATTAATTTCTAAAGCATCTGGAGGAATTGGGCTACATGTACATAATATTAGAGGAAGTGGATCATATATTTCTAGTTCTAATGGAACTTCAAGTGGCTTAGTGCCTATGTTGAGGGTTTTTAACAACACAGCGAGATATGTTGATCAAGGAGGTAATAAAAGACCCGGAGCATTCGCCATTTATATTGAACCATGGCACTGTGACATCATAAGTGTATTAGATTTAAAAAAAAATCATGGGAAGGAAGAGATGAGAGCAAGAGATTTGTTTTATGGGTTATGGATACCTGATTTATTTATGGAGAGAGTAAAAAAAGATTTAGATTGGTCTCTCTTTTCTCCTGATGTTAGTCCTGGATTAAGTGATTGTTATGGAGATGAATTTAGAAATCTCTACGAAAATTATGAGAAGTCAGGAAAAGCTATAAGTACTATTAAAGCACAAAAGCTATGGCGTGCAATTCTAGAATGTCAAACTGAAACTGGTGGCCCCTACATGTTGTTTAAGGATGCATGTAACATGAAGTCGAACCAAAAGAACTTAGGAACTATTAAATCATCTAACCTTTGTTGTGAAATTATTGAATATTCATCGCCCGAAGAAACAGCGGTTTGTAATTTAGGTTCTTTAGCTTTGCCATCATTCATCAAGAGTCATAATGAATTAGAATATGATTTTGATAAACTTCATTCAGTTACAAAAGTATTAGCCAAAAATTTGAATAAGATAATAGACACTACCAAATACCCTATTGAAAGTGCTAAACGATCAAACATGAAGAATAGGCCCATTGCAATAGGTGTGCAGGGTTTAGCTGATTTATTCTTAGAATTAAGATTACCTTTTGATTCTAAGCAAGCGAAAGTTTTAAATATCCAAATTTTTGAGACCATTTATCATGCTGCAATTGAAGTATCAATTGAATTAGCAATCAAGGATGGCCCATATGATAATTTTAAAGGCTCTCCTATTTCCCAAGGATTACTTCAATTTGATCTTTGGAATCATAAACCATCACAGTTATACTCTGACTGGGATGAGTTGAAATTTAAAGCTAAAACATTAGGTGTTCGGAATTCGTTACTAGTTGCACCAATGCCTACTGCTTCAACATCTCAGATTTTAGGGTTTAATGAATGCTTCGAACCTTACACATCTAATATATATAATCGGAGGGTATTATCTGGGGAATTTCAAGTAGTCAACAAATACTTGATGAAGGATTTAATTGACCTAGGTATCTGGAACTCCTCTATGAAAAATAAAATAATCTTGGAGAACGGTTCGATTCAAAAAATACCCGTTATACCGAATGAATTGAAACAGCTTTATAGAACAGTTTGGGAAATTTCTCAAAAAGTGATCATTGACCTAGCAGCCGATAGAGGAAAATTCATAGACCAGCTGCAAAGTATGAATATTCATTTGCAAGATCCAACTTTTGGCAAGTTAACAAGCAGCCATTTCTATGCCTGGGAAAAAGGCTTGAAAACTGGTATGTACTATCTAAGGACGCAGGCTGCCACTAGGGCTATACAATTCACAGTCGATTTAGATGAATCTTCAAAGCTAGACTTACAAACAGAAGTCAACATGGGTTCATTAAAAAGAAAATCGTACCATGAAATTGATAAGATTGAACAGCTGCAAAAAAAAATTAAATCTGATAAATCCAAAATTATAGGTAATAATATAAAAAGCAAAACTCAAACCTATATAACACCAGAATCAACTGGGATTGATAGCCCCGATACCGCAGGAGATAATGAAGGGTCGTTTGACATTTATGACACTACACCTGTTGCTTGTGATATTAAGAATGTGGCAAATTGTGATTCATGTTCTGGCTGATCATATTTACATGCTCCTTATTTATTTAATATACTTTATACCTTGTACATAGTTATACAATACAGTAAAAATTTACTAAAAATTTCATACGAATAAAATAAATTGCTCATCATCTTCTTTGATTTCTACTAGCAAAATCAGCAACTTGTGAAATTCCGTCTTTTGTCACGAAGAACTTCATTTTATTTTTATTTGACCAAAGAAGGACACCAATTTCTGAAGCATAATTACTCAATGCTTCAAATTCTTGTTGGCTTGCAAAATCCTTGAATAAATAGCCTTCAAATGTTTGAATTCTATCTAATTCTAATTGCCATAACTTAATCTGATCAACGACTGTTGGCGGTAATACTTCCAATTTATGCTGAGCTACCGTAGTACCATTTTCGTTGGTCATCATTTGAGATTGTGGAGCACCCCCCGCTGTGTTTATATTATTGCTGGTATCAAATTCTATTTTCTTATCCAATCTCTCTTTGGCTAGTATCTTCATTTGAGAATGAGCATGTGTCTCCAAAAATTTAATGATTTGATCAGCGGTAATACCATTATATAGAGCATTTCTAATTGATTCTCTTGTGATTTGACCACATACCATATTAGAAAACCGAGTCTTTAAATGTACAAATAGATTTAAAATTGCTATTTCCAACGGAGAATTTGTATATGCATAAATCTTGAAATTAGTTTCAAGAATAATTGTTCCTTGGTTTGAATTCGATGCCAAATTTGGTTGTTCTTCGTTTTCAGTAGTTGATTCCAAAGCTTGCTCCATAGCCATGGATGGGGACTTCAATGCAGCAGAATCAGAGGTCAATGTGGTTGCTAGTCTAGTAGGATAAAACCTTTCTGAATTTTCTGTTCTTTGATAAATTAATCCATAATCTCTTAGATCTGCCAACATACTTACTTGTGTTTCGCTCAAGCTTGAAACTGTATACCCTTTACCTAATTCCAAAGAACCCAATATGAAAATAAAGTTCAACACATCCACAGGATCCATATTTAAGTCTTGTGTTAAATTTAAATATTGTAATAATAATGTCCAAATTTGGGCATTGATATCTTGTAAGAGAAACTGAAACCCTGAATTAGTAATATTTAATCTGTTTCCACCTTTAGTGGATCCTTCCATTAAACCACCCAGCTTTAACAATGACAAAACAGAATTTGAGGGAGTGACACTTAATTCAGTACCAACCATGAAGTGCAATATACTTTCCCATTTTTGGAGCGCAAAGGAATCCAAGAATTTGATGCTAACATCATGCTCATCTCGTATTGTGCTTAGATTTCCGAATGCATTACGTGCTTGTGATCCTGTTAGACAATCACGGAAGTTCTGTCTGAAGATAGGATGCAATCTAATATGTGATCCACTGTTGTCTTCCTCGATAAGATGTAACGCCTTCAATCTCTTTAAAGAGTCAAATTGAAACTTTCTTGCTGAAGGCTTACACCACTTGTCCAAATCCTTCAATGCCACTGGTGTTTCATAAAATAACATTGTCATTATGTAGAATTTGGCTATTGGTGGTAACAATCTATAAATTGAAAGGCATGTTGCTGGTGCCTCATATAACCTTGATTGAACCTGTTTGGGTAGTCCCTCCAAATGTTCATTCACAGTAGCCTTGAACAAGTTACTAGAAGACATTACGACCGATCGTTGATATGCTGATTGATACCAGGTTATAGAGATATATAGCTTCCAACTTAGGCCCTGTTATAATCAAATGTTATAAGATTATGTAATCAAAGTAATTCTATATAGTTTTTTTTTTCATTCAATGAGAAGAGATTCAGGTTTAGATTAAGACCGAGTCCTTCAATTTAGCATAGAATAGTATTAAAATTAGGTCATGGGCGTTAAAAGAAAAGCTTCAAGGATAAACTCTATGGAAATGGGGTCTGATGAAGCTTTTGATCAGTTGCTACAACCTGAATATAAGGGTAAAGGGTTGACGGATCAAATCAATACAGCTGATGACAAATGGAATTTGTTACCGGCTTTCTTGAAGGTAAAAGGGTTGGTGAAACAACATCTTGATTCTTTCAATTATTTCGTTGACGTTGATTTAAAGAAGATCATAAAGGCCAATGAATTAGTTTTGTCGGATGTTGATCCGGAGTTTTATTTGAAATATCTCGATATTAGAGTGGGTCATAAATCAACATCTCCACCAGGAACCAAGGAAGTTATATTACCACCACATGAATGTCGTTTGCGGGACTTAACTTATTCGGCACCTATATATGTTGATGTGGAATATACAAGAGGTCGTAAGATTATTATGCATAAAGATCTTGAAATCGGTAGAATGCCGATTATGTTACGTTCCAATAAATGTATTTTAGACGGAATCGATGAACACCAAATGTCACGTTTTGATGAATGCCCGTTGGACCCTGGTGGGTATTTCGTTGTCAATGGTACCGAGAAAGTAATTTTGGTTCAAGAACAATTATCTAAGAATAGAATTATCGTTGAAGCTGACGAGAAGAAAAATATTGTCCAAGCATCAGTCACTTCTTCTACTCATGAACGTAAGTCTAAAACTTACGTTATAACTAAGAATGATAACATCTATTTGAAGCATAACTCTATTAGTGAAGATATTCCTATAGTTATTATATTGAAAGCTGCAGGTATTACTTCAGATTTGGAAATTTTACAATTGGTTTGTGGTCAAGATCCCCAGTATCAAGATTTATTTGTAGTTAATTTTGAAGAAGCAGCAAAGTTAGAGATTTTCACTCAACAACAGGCATTGAACTATGTTGGTAAGAGAGTTAAGACTATAAGAAGAGCAGGTGCCCCTAAATTGACTCAATTACAAGAAGGTATTGAAGCAATTGCAACTACTATTATTGCACATTTAACTGTATCTGACTTACAGTTCCGTGAAAAGGCGTTATATATTGCAGCCATGGCAAGACGTGTTTTGATGACTATGCATAACCCAAAAATGGTTGATGATAGAGATTATGTTGGGAATAAGAGATTAGAATTGGCAGGTCAGTTGATGTCTTTATTATTTGAAGATTTATTTAAAAAGTTTAATTCTGATTTTAAAGCTAACATTGACAAGATCTTGAAAAAGCCAAGTCGTGCTCTGGAGTTTGATGCATTGTTATCTATTAATATTCATTCTAATAATATAACAATGGGTATGAATAGAGCTATATCTACCGGTAATTGGTCCTTAAAACGTTTCAAGATGGAAAGGGCTGGTGTTACGCATGTCTTATCAAGATTATCATATATTTCTGCTTTGGGTATGATGACTCGTATATCTTCCCAATTCGAAAAGTCACGTAAGGTTTCTGGACCAAGAGCTTTACAACCATCTCAGTTCGGTATGTTATGTACTGCAGATACACCTGAAGGTGAAGCCTGTGGGTTGGTTAAGAATTTAGCATTGATGACACACATTACAACTGATGACGAAGAATTACCTATTAAAAAGTTGTGTTACGTATTAGGTTGCGAAGATATTTTAGGCATTGATTCAGCAACTTTATACGCAGATGGTAATTTTGGCGTTTGTCTTAATGGTACCTTAATTGGGTGCACCAGGTTCCCTGTTAAGTTTGTTCTGGATTTCCGTAACTTAAGAAGATCGGGTAAGGTTTCTGCATTTATTTCGATCTACACTAACTCGCATCAGAATGCTGTGCATATTGCAACTGACGGTGGTAGAATTTGTAGACCGCTTATCATCATAGGCGAGAAGAACAAATCAAAAGTCAATGAGCATCACTTGGCAGAGTTATTATCTGGTAAATGGGCATTCGATGACTTTTTGAAGCATGGTCTAGTCGAATATTTGGATGTCAATGAGGAAAATGATTCTTTGATTGCCTTATATGAGCATGATTTGGTAGAACATCCTAATCAAAATTTTACACATATGGAAATTGAACCGTTCACAGTATTAGGTGCAGTTGCAGGTTTAATTCCATATCCACATCATAACCAATCGCCTAGAAATACATATCAATGTGCTATGGGTAAGCAAGCGATTGGTGTCATCGGTTATAATCAATTTAGAAGAATTGATACTTTATTATATTTAATGGTATATCCTCAACAACCAATGGTTAAAACTAAGACTATTGAATTAATTGACTACGACAAATTGCCTGCTGGACAAAATGCCGTTGTTGCAGTTATGTCTTATTCAGGTTACGATATCGAAGATGCCTTGGTCTTAAATAAATCATCCATTGATAGAGGTTTTGGTCGTTGTCAAGTTTTACGTAAGAACACTATTACTTTAAAAAGATATCCAAATCATACTAAAGATTTGGTATCTGGTATGAGAGTAGACGAAAATGGTGAACCAATATTCCCGCATGCAGCATTGGGTCCAGATGGTTTAGGTGAAGTTGGTATGAGAGTAGAAAATGGACAAGTTTATGTCAATAAGTGTGTTCCGAATAATGCAGGTGAATCTGTTTTGGGATCCAATGACCAACAACATAATCAACAGCAAACAGCTGAGAGTCATAGAGAAACTCCAGCATTCTATAAGGCTCCAGAACCTGCATACGTCGACCAAGTTATGATGTCTGTAAGTGATAATGACCAAGCATTAATCAAAGTGTTATTGAGACAAACTAGAAGACCTGAGCTAGGTGATAAATTTTCTTCTAGGCATGGACAAAAGGGTGTCTGTGGTATCATCGTTCAACAGGAGGATTTGCCCTTCAATGATGATGGTATCTCTCCAGATATTATTATGAACCCGCATGGTTTCCCATCTCGTATGACGGTTGGTAAGATGATCGAATTGATTTCTGGTAAGGCTGGTGTGTTGAATGGTTCATTGGAATATGGTACATGCTTTGGTGGATCAAAGTTAGAAGAAATGTCCAGAACATTGGTGGATAAGGGATTCAGCTATTCTGGTAAAGACATGTTATATTCCGGTATTACTGGTGAATGTCTTCAGGCATATATATTCTTTGGGCCTATATACTATCAAAAATTGAAACATATGGTCTTAGATAAGATGCATGCAAGAGCAAGAGGTCCAAGAGCAGTATTGACCAGACAGCCTACGGAAGGTAGATCTAGAGATGGTGGTTTGAGATTGGGTGAAATGGAAAGAGATTGTGTTATCGCATATGGTGCATCACAGTTGTTGTTGGAAAGATTGATGTTATCGTCTGATGCATTTGAAGTCGATATTTGCAATCAATGTGGTTTAATGGGTTATAATAGTTGGTGTACTACCTGTAAGAGCTCAGAATACATAATCAAAATGACAATTCCATATGCTGCTAAGTTGTTGTTCCAAGAATTATTGTCTATGAATATCGCACCAAGATTGAAATTAGGTGATGTATTTTAAAGTGGCTTTTGAGTTTAGTGTCTCATTTTTTCCCAGAAAACTCTATAGAAAATAACGTGTATGATAGTTTAATATTCAATTACTTATAAATAATTACATTTCCTGTCGTAGTCGAGTCCCAATTGTTAAAGTTGGAAGAAGCGTAAGATTGCAAAATAAGAATCGTTATGACCCCCCATCGCCAATTATGAACGTTTTCTCAAACTTATATATAAAAGACCAATAACTTCCTAACCACGCATCTATTGGCCAAGTATCTCTAACAAATATTTCTCACTATCCTATTTTCTAAACAATTATCTATATTATGTATATTAAACTCAAAATTAAATAATTAGGTATTGATTTCCAAGGGTTATCAATTTCAAACGAAGTTCGCTAGCTGTTTTCGCAGCTGCAAAAATTTTTGGCCAGATCTCTAATCTGAGCGAATTTAATGTCAAATCCTTCAACTTTAGTTGGCTTTATCTGAAAATTGCAAATAATGTTTTGCTCATTATCATGGTTTGTCATCAGAAATTTGGCCTCTTCTACTTTATATTTCACTGGACTTATTTATGGTATAACATGTGTAAATGTGTGTTTGCAGCATTATAAGTCGTGTCTATTTCAAAACAAGTTTTAAAACTCGCGTGAAGACTTTGCGACAAAACGGGATCAAATTAAGTGATCAATGATATAAACGCTTTTATGGAATTGAATATATTAATTCAGGAGACTATCGATATATTTCCTAGGTATAATGGCTCCCATATCTACTAGGATGCAATCTCAACGTAGATTAATGTTGAGTTGTACAACTTTATTTATTTTTCTATTGATCATTAATTTAAGCAAAACATCACTGATAGGCATTGAAGATGCGATATTTTTGGCTAAGAATTCATTTAAGGAATACAAAGAACAACATATACCCAAAGCATTGCACATAGGGGATATGATAGCGGGTAATATGACTAATGCGACTTCACCTAAAATTGCAGCTAGCATTTTGGATTTTGATTTGCAATATCCGTTTGATAACGTCGTGAATTCTATATTTCCTATAGACACTACAATTGAGTATAATTCTAGCGACAAGAACCATAATATCACGACACGTAGGATTATAGGAAGATATGCGTCGTATAGTCCAATATTAACGGGACATGTGTCGGGCACTTTCAAAATCTTTCCGAATAATGCATGTAACGATATCAATAAGCCAGATTATGAAGGGTACGAGGACCAGATACTTGTGGTATTGAGAGGAAACTGCAGCTTTTTTGATAAGGTAGAAAATATAATAAATTCGGAACTCAATCCGAAGAGTATTATTATCGCTAATGACGAACCTCATAGAGGCTTGATTACGATGTATTCAAATAAATTTAATACAGATGGCTCTTTTAATGTCCCAATTATGTTTATTTCGTACGAAGGGTATAAAGAACTACATAGCTTAAAAGACAAGAATTTGGAATTGACAATATCTACAGTGGCTTTCGGCAGTTTGATGAATATAGTCTTGTCAATGATTTTATCTCCACCTCTATTGATATTCTTGCTTTACACTTTCATAAAATGCGTTCAGCATTGTCGGGAAAAACGAATGAATCTAGCAAACGAGAAGTTTGTTAAGAATTTACCTATTTATATTTATAACATGAATCATTTGATCTATTCGAAGAAGTTTTACGACTATTTGAAAACAACAAACCAGACTGAAAGTATTACATTTGCAGCTGAATCTGAACTAAATTCATTGAATAGATCAAATTCGTATGATGGATTTAAAATGAGCCGTTCGTCTTCCAAAACTTCATTGAACAATTTTACTATTAACGGGATTGATGTCAAAAGTATTAAAAGTCAGTTTCATATATTAACGGCTCCGGACGATTTTTTCTTTTCATATAAATGCCCAATATGTTTGGACAAATTTAAACCGTTGGCTTCTAGGGTTCTTGTGCTAGATTGCAAGCATTGTTATCATGAAAAATGCTTATCTAATTGGTTAATTAACTTCAGAAGAAGCTGTCCTTTATGTAACAACATCATTAAGGGCAGTGATACTCGTTACTTACTTAGTGATCTGGAATCATCTTCGTACGGTAGCTTTGATGAAGATTTAGAGGCCCAAGTCATCCCAAACTCACTTCAAGCGAGGAATCATTATGATGAAAATTCAAACAGCCCAGATTTGAACAACGCTGATGGCCAAATATATCATACGAAACCTAAGCATGACGATAATCAACAGTTGCTCTCAAATATGGATGATAATAATGATGGAAGTATTCAAGGATATACCCCGTTCGAGAACATTACTGATCAACCGCATGTCGAACCATTTTTGTCTACAAGTACGAGTCAAAACTCCCCCATATTGCAAGGTCCTGGTGCTGATACAGCAGGATCGCGTACTATACCAGATGAACTCTCATTTCCCAATGTGGAAGAGCCACCAGCATCAACTGGTAGTGTTGGGGCCTCAAGTATGAGTGATGCATCTTCGTTTTTTTCTGCGAAGAGCCATTTTGATAGCAGAAGAAACAGCTCCGCATCTCCACCAAAACCACCGCCAACACCGTCATCATCGACTAGATATTACTCTAAACCCTGGCAAATTCTCAGTCGCTTTGCTCCTCCGAAGTTGGAATCTCTTCACGAAGTGAGTTCAAGCATTGATTCAGAAGATTTTGCAACCCCATCCAGAGGTGTTGGAGATACAGATGAATCTACAATTGATGGACAATCAGTTGGTTCCAGTACAGAAACAGATATTGGCAGTGATTCCGAAAACGGCTCAAGTATTTAAGATCACCTTATTTTGCAGTGTTTCCTCATTGTATATGTCCCATATAGTTATGTCCACATATTTATTTTCACCCCACAGAGGGTCAATAAAATCACGTGATATACGAATAGTTGAACGAGAAAAAAAGATTACCCAACTAAACGGTTAGGTCCGTAATAAGAGTACACGATTGGAGCAAAGAGCTCATTAGTTGAAGACTTGATTGTAATCTATGAAAATGGATGGAGAGAGTATCCAAAGAAGTATCACCGGCATGAAACCGGAAGAACTTACTCATAGCGTTAGTTCGAGAAGTGCCATGACTGATCCGGGGTCTAGCTCAGAAGATACGAAGAAACCAAAAACAGCAAAGAAGCGGAAAAAGAAGGTTGAAATTGCATGCGTTTATTGTCGCAGATCACATATGATTTGTGATGATTCGAGACCGTGTCAGCGTTGTATCAAAAGAGGTATAAGTCATTTATGTCATGATGAACCATCTAATTCAAGACAGCGTAAGAAGGCAGAAGCTATGGTCAAAAATCCAGAACCAAATGTATCGCCTTCACAACCAGTTCAATCTCAGTCAATGGCGCAACCTATAGCTGCTCAGAGTTTTTTAGCCAGAGATGAAAGAAGCCCTGTATCCAACTTTAATCCTCAGCACAAGTCTGTTAGTAACTCAGTTTTATCGCAAACATTGCCATACAAACAGGAACCATTTTTTTATTCTGAACATGCTGGAAGCGAATTCAGCTCATTAAATGACTTTTTGTCCATGATTGATGATCCTGATTTAGTCCACGGCACTTTAAACGACGAAGCGAATAATAATGATCCTTTGTATGCTTTCGGAATGGGTACAAATGGTAATAATATAAGTAATATTGACATACCGAATAATTCAAATAATAACGGTAATGCTAATAATAATAATAATAATAATAATAATAATAATAATCATAATAACACTAATAATAATGGCAACAATTTAACAAATATTTTATCGTTTTCCCCAAATGCTAATATGTTCTCACCGTCCTTTCAAAACGACTCCGAATCGATGGAACAATCCCAAAATCAATCAAATATGCAATCGCAGCCTAATAATAATGCGTATGGCAAACTTAAGAGTAATTTAAATGCGCCTGTGAATCAAGCAACCCATCAACCTGCTATTTCCGATGCAGCAAGAGATAAATTTTTCTTGACGGCGGCAGATCCCACTACTGAAATATCACCTGAGGAAAGGTTAAAGCAAGTTATCAAAGCTAAATTGGAAGCAGGTTTATTACAGCCCTACAACTATGCAAAAGGGTATGCAAGGCTTCAAAGCTATATGGATAATTATATGAATTTGTCAAGTAGACAAAGAATTTTAAAACCATTATCCGTTTTTCGTCCTGCTTTCAGAGCAATTGCTAGGACCCTTAAAGATGTTGATTTGGTTTTGGTGGAAGAGAGCTTTGAGAGAATGCTTTTAGATTACGATAGAGTTTTCACGTCTATGGCAATCCCAGCATGTCTTTGGAGACGTACAGGTGAAATATATAGAGGAAATAAAGAGTTTGCGTCTCTAGTGGGAGTTCTGACTGATGATTTAAAAGATGGTAAATTGGCTATATATGAGTTGATGAGCGAAGAAAGTGCAGTTAATTTTTGGGAAAAATATGGTGCAATTGCATTTGATAAGGGCCAAAAAGCAGTTTTAACAAGTTGCAATTTGAGAACCAAGGATGGTATAAAGAGAAAGAGTTGTTGCTTCAGTTTCACAATCAGAAGAGACAGGTATAATATACCGAGTTGCATAGTAGGTAACTTTATACCAATAGACCCTTAAGACCTATTGTTAGTTTATTATACTGTAATATTAAAGTACTATAAATACACGAAATAAAATATTTATAATCAGCTATCATTTACTAATCTACTTATTCAGAAAGTTCTGGTTCTGAGTCACCTTCAATGTCGTCAACTTCTATATCTGAACCTTCATCTTGGTTCTTTTTATCCTTACGTGCTTTTTCATCTTCGGCTATAGCATCTCTTAAAATTCTCAATTTTTCTTCTTTCATCTCTCTTTGAACAACAACATATTGACCTAAAGGTGTTTTCTCCCAGCTAAAATCTTTCAAGAAGAGTTGAACTTCGGTTTTGTTTGATGGGCCGTATTCAACATTAGATCTCTTACCAGAAATAAAAGTGGCGTTTGAGTTCAATTTTTCAACTAATTGTTGCAATTGTTTATTGAATTTAACGTTCTTGGATTTTTTCATGAATCTTCTTAATGATAAAATAGCTGGCGTTGCCAATTCAGGGAATGCAATATTCTTTGAGTATAATACAAAGAACTCACTGGTCAACTCTACAAATTGTTCACATAATCCATCTTGATAAGTCTTAGTACCCAAATATGCTTGATTGACTTTAATATTATGATCAAAATCCACAACTTGTAAATTCGAACGCTTTGGTGCTTTCGTTATACTAGTGGAAGTTAATATTTCAGCGATCAATGGGAATATTGGAATGAAAACCCCCGTTGATTGAGACAATCTTATTAATGATCTAATTAAATAAAATCTTAACGGGAAAAATTGTGCAGTTGGAATTAATCTCATAGCACCCAATGTAACTTGAACCAAAGGATAGATCAATTGTCTTAATGGTGACTCTTTAGACTTATGGTTGAGTAATTCCTTTTCTGGGTTACAATGTTGGGCTAACACTCTTGACCAGAAATCTAATGAATGGCAATATTGCCAATTATAAATAGTCTTAAAACCTTCCTTTGCATTGGAAGTAGCATTAATACTATTTCTTAAATGTATAGCTAACTGTCTGACGTATTCAAACCCAACCTGGTAAGACAAAGTTTCATCAATACCAAATAACTCTGCTGCCGAATTTTTACAGAAATTGATCATTGGCATAGTATGAATATTAGTCTTACGACAGTTTTGTAAAAGGGAAGAATAAGTCAATTTCAAAACTGTTTCTAAAATAGATTTAGGAAATTCTTTGACAGCATTATTTAAGAATGCAAAAGTAGCAATTTGAGTGTCGACATCACTTGTGGTTGCCCAGGCATTTACTACTGATGATAAAATTTCTTTCAATAAACGTCTGTAAGATAAGTAATAAGGAAGAACTTCTTGGATAGATGAGAGAACCAAAGCAGCCGTTTCAGTGTTTGTAATGTCCTTCAACAAAGTGATATATGATCCGGCATGGGACTTTAAAATGTTAGAAATTTGAGTAACATTCTGGTTTTTCTGAGGAATACTTCTAGCTCCAGTTTGTGGGTGAACTTTATATTTAATTAACGTCTGAATTGCTTCAGGTAATTTTTTCAAAGTTAATAACATTAAATCATTAAAGGCTTTTGGGTCTGTGACGGAGTATTTGTAATCTTCATCATTAGCATTATTAATGTTTACTGCAGCTTTAAAAGCCATAGATATATTTTTGATGGTTTTTGGACTTGGCTTGTTTAATTGTTCTTGCCACTGTTTAACTAATTTTGGTGTAATTTCAATCTTTCTAGAAGCTGCCTCTTCAGCTTTGGATTTTTTGGCAGGCTTCTCTGTCTTCTTTTCTTGGGCCTCTTCGTCTTCTTCTTCTTCATCATCCTCATCTTCACTCATTGCATCCAAAGGATTGACACCTTCAAAATCTAATAAGTCTTTATCATTCTCCTGCAAATACTTATAAAAGTCAGGATCCTTGTCAGCTAAGTTTTTCAAATCGTGTTGCATAGCTTCTTCATCTTCTTCTTCTGAAGATGAGTCTTCCTCGTCTGATTGCACTTTCGATTTCTTATTCTTCTCCTTTGGGACTTCAAATCCTCCAGCAAAAAACTCATCTACTGGCATATCTTCAAAAACTTCCTTAGGCTGGGTTCCTTTCGGACGAGTAACTTCGCTGTCGTCACTACTGCTAGACTTACTCTTCTTTCTAGAGCCCATCTTTTTATTGTGCTTTTGCACCTCCCTACGGTGTTCGATAGTATGTTTCAAATGTTTACTTTGAAACTTCTTAGTAGATTTAGATGCTTTGGCCATTGTTGTATTTGATACTAAAGCTAGTAATGTCTATAATTCACTTCTGAAAAATATATATATATGAAAAAAAAAAGCGATGAGAAGCATCGTATCGTTTTTGTGTCATTTATTCTTTTATCATTACTTAAACAGCCTATACAAAGTTATCAAATTTACCACTAAATGCATCAAATAGCCAATGAAGTAATTTGTCATATACGATAGTATTTGAATTATGATAATAAATTGAGTGATCATTATCAGGAAAAAAATGGACATCATAATTTTCCAAGTTATTCAAATTAAACTTATCTAAGAGCCACATCAGATTCTGTAAATGGACGTTATCATCGGATGTACCATGCATAATCAAGAACCTTTTAACAGAATCGAAATGTTTGAATTCTTTTATGCGGGAAGTTTTATCATAGTTTTTATTTTCTGATGGTAATCCCATGTATCTTTCTGTATAAACAGAGTCATAAAATAGCCAATTCGTAACAGGTGCCACTGCCATACCAAATTTGAATGTTTCCCCATGGTCATACTCTAAAGTCTTTAATGTTGTAAATCCACCATATGACCATCCCCAAATTGCAGTCCTGTCTTTATTTATAAATTTCTCATTAACTTTAATATATTCGGAAACAACAGTAGTAATATCTCTAGGTTCCCAATAACCAAGCTTTCCGCTTACAAATGACCTCGATTTCCAATCTTGAGTTGTGCCTCTAGGATCTATAATTAAAACAACTGCATCGAGTTTTGCACTTACCACGTCCTGAAAATCAACACTAAACCTTTTATCAACAGTCTGTGATCCAGGTCCGCCATAGACATGAACCAACAATGGGTATTTGCGCCTATTGGGGTCAAAATTAGGTGGAAAAATTTCAATAACATTCAAATCTACTAGAGACTTGTCTGGAAATTTATCAATACTGACTGTTTTATATAACCTTGTCGGTATATTGGTCCTTTTCAAAGCGTCTTTGATTAGTTCAACGTGATTAATAGGTTTGGTTTTATCTAGCAAATCAGTAACCGAATCTTCTTTACCTTTATTCCCTCTTGATTCAAGAATGTTATGGATATCTGCCATGTTTATTAATTTCTGCCAAGGATTATTTGGCCCGTTGTAATTCAAGTTAAGATATTGTCCATCTTGGTCAAAGCTGATTTCATAGAAGCCATCTTTATTTATATCTGTAATTATATGTATGTTGTTCTCTGTGATCAAGTTGACTGCAATCAAATGCGATTCCATTGAACTCCTCATAGTAGATAAGCAATAAACAATATTTTCTGTCTTATCATATACAACGGGGGAGTCTGAAATAATCTCCCAGTCCTTTGAATCAGTCAAAATTTTTGATGGTTCTTTCGAGGCAGCCTTTTCAAACAAGGCTAAATGAGTACGCCTATTAATAACTATTTTATCAATGTAGCTATTTTCTCCATTATCGGTAGGAATAATTGTCATAGGAGAAGCCTTTTCTACCCACCCATTATATTCTTTAGTGGCATTTATAGAATTCACTTCTTTTATGTCATTTGATTTCTCAGGTTGATATAATTTTTTGGTTAATACTTTACTCGTACGGTCAGTATGCTTCATTAAAAAATTCTTATCATCAACCCAAATCCCATCGTAAAATAAAAAATCGCTCTTTGAACTTAACTCTTTAATGGTTAATTTGGATGACTCTTTAGAAGCTAATTTAAAATTATGGATAGATACCTTAGGGATAGGAGTTCCAGGTTTTGGATATTTAATTGATTTTTTAGTAGGATACTGTTTAACATTATCTACTATTTCGTCTTTTGATTCATTATATGTATCTCCAATTTCATCAGAATCTTTAATATAATAGTCTAAGTCGTATTCGTTGACTTCTGAATCATCTAATGAAACATATACTAAATTTTCTTGATTAGGAGACCACCAAAAGAGCTTTTGATCACCAGTGACCTCTTCTTCATAGACCCAGTCTGGCTTACCATTAAAAATATGTGGAGACCCATTTTTTGTAATTTCGGTGATCTCCAGAGATTTTATATTTTGCAAATATAAATTGTGATTAAATCCGAAAACTATGAAATCACCTTTGGGTGAGAATTCTGCAAAATGAAGTTTTTTAAGCTTTTCATGCTCTAAAGGTGATACTTCATTCTGAGTTTCTTGTGTCTTGGGTGGTTGTATGGGTATATACTCAGTTGTTTCAGTATTGTATATCCAGTATATGGCAAAACTCAGATGTCTCCACTGAGATAATGTATCCGACACCACTATGTGAAAGTTTTCTGCTTCGTCTATTGATTTTGCAGGGTTCAATTTTAATTCATCAATGATAAAGAAATTATTCTTGTATGAGAATTGAATGCTATCTATTATTGTCCTGGATGAAACTCTATTCACCAGTTTAACATCAAAACTCCCCTTCATGCCTCGTGTTAAATAAAATCCGTCTTGTGTCTCGTGTGTTGGTTTTTGCTTGATATTTAACCATTCGACATGTTCTTTGAATGGGAAAAATGTGCCCTTTCTGTATAAATCTAGAGTCAAGTTGTTATTCGCAGGATCATAATGATTCAACGTCACATTATTACCACTCACCGTTATATTCGTCTTCCATTTCAAATCAGAAACGATAGATAATGCTGCTCCTTGCGAATACACTATTAATGCTATTACCCAGATGGCCGCCACAACTCCACTCACTAACGCACAGATTTTCTTGTTTGCTGACCCAGTGTCCTTGTATTTCTGGAGTGCTGTTTGAAACTTGGAGTCAAGATTGAAATCATCTGTATCCTGCTGCCTTTGGGTGTATTCATCAATATCTTCAAATATATCTGATGACAGCGATTCACTTGAACTTTTGGAACTAGAAGTAGGCGCAAAATTGTGTCCCGAAGTCTGGCCTTCTAAATCATTAACAATTGGTTCTTGGTTTACAAGTTCGTATTCTTCTGTACCAGTTGATTTGTTAAACCACATCTACTACACATGAATATTTTGTGTTTATCCCGACTCTCTTTTTATCGATACGGTATTATTATAAGCTTGTCTCTAATTTCAAATTTCATACAACACAAGTACTCTATTATATGATTTCATCACCCTATGTAGTATCAATTGCTTATTTAGGTATTGAAAGGAAGATGTTAAACGGACAAGGTAACCTGCCAAGTTTAATTTGCAAGTTCGCGTGGTTGAAAATACGCCTTGTTCAATATCGAAATTCGTCTACAAAGCGGTTGAATAATTGCAAATATTGATGGAAACTATAATATATATTAGATGTGTCTATTGAAATAGCTAATATGAGTTACAGTCAATCAATCAGTATCTATTCACAAATTTTTAACTCGCAATTGACCAAAGATGATAAGTTTTTCGTTGCACTTTACACGGTCCCTGTCCATACCGATGCGTTATTATCACAGATGCAAGCTAATTGTCAATCAATAGGATCATCTGTCATATCGACTAGCAATTTTAATGTCTTGCAAGTTATGTTTGTGCATGGGGTTAGATTATTGTCGGATGCTATGTGCTGTCCAGAGGAAGAAGTTGAGAGTGCTATTATCCAAGACCCCAAGGATCCGCTAGGTTCAAAAAGGGATTCTGAATCCATTTTGAGTGGAGTTTCTACTCGTCCCGAATCCATACGATCTGAGTTTGACCAAGGCGGCGAGGATATCACGTCTTTAAGCGGAAAAGCACTGAATAGTTCTAATCTGCACTTCTTAACTGAATACAGCGAGGGCGATGATATTACTACGCTAAAAGGAAAAGACAGTAGTAGAAGAGGCAGTAACATAAGCATCTCGTCTAATCAGAAGACAAGTCTCCCAAAAATAAGCAGCCAGTCTATTTCATTAAGTTCGGAAAGAAATACCTTTGAACATATTGATGAAGATTTAAGGATTGAGGTAATATGTAACATATTGAAGACAATTGCAGTCTGGTTCAAGAATATAAATGCAACAAACAAAGCTTCACGTAAATCTAAGAATAGCCTTGGTGTACTGCAAGATGTTGATCTTTTAAGTACACTATTTCAGTTAGCAAATAGTAACTCATCCTTTTGCCTTGATGAAACTTACTTGCATAGACTATTAAAGATATGTGCATGGTACTTGAATTATGCCATTGCGTATGTGGAACAAAATCCGGGCTTGCCTGAATACAAAAATTTAGGTATTGTGAAAGAAATCATTTTTCTTTTATCAGACATAATGAAAACCATATTCGCATCATTATTATATCATAATGATTCTACTATGGAATTAGCCATAACTGAAAGTCTTTTGTTCACTTTTTTTAAGGTTGACTTCTCTAAAGTACTCGATAAATTGATGACTATAACAACTCCAAAATTGATGGAATCGGAACTGCAAAACGAACCCCATTACACACTTCCAGATATTTCTTTATCATCTGAAACGTTAATGAAATTATACAACTTCATTGGGGCTTTGATAAATGTTCCCTCTCGATATTTACCAGTACCTCCCACTTCGTTTTCAGATGACATCACAATTATGAATAAAGAATCTCTGAATATTTATGAACATTACTTTTGCAACTCAAAAGAATTCAATTCTGTGACGTTTAATCAGGAGATTAATCTGCGTTTCTTACCAAATTACGCGATTGATTTCAATCTCTACTACAATTTGAAGCCAGATCTATTGATGAATCATATTAAAAGTGGCTCGTTCATGAATTGGATAACTGGAAATAGATTTAATGACAATTTTTATTTGAATTATGATACATGTGCATATGTTACCAATTTGTCCACAAACTATGATTTTTTCAATCTAGCGGAAACTTCAGAAAAGTATTCATTCATAGATGAACTTCAGTCTATCGAAAAACTTAGATCTAGTCAACTAAGCCAAAACAATAGCGATGATGATGATTATGTTATTGATATATATGAATTATTACCCATGTCATTAATGCTATTCTCATACATACAGAACCCAAGCTTTTTAGAGCATTTTACAAATCAGATTCATAGGATTGACCATAAAATTGAAGATATTACACCTAGCGATAACACATATGTTGAGATTTATGAAATTTGGTTATGTGTATTATCTTACACGTTCCAATATCAACACAAGTCAATCCCATTGCAAGCAAATACGCAAATATCTTTGTTAATTTTATTAGAATTAACTTCTCTTCACAAAACGATCAATAATAAAGAGGATTCACCTCTAGTCGTTGAAAACCTCAAGAATTATCAAATTAACGAATTTAAATGGAAACTTTGTCATCAAAGATTGCCAATAGTTCCAACCAATATTGGTAAAGAGGGATTTAAGTCAAGTTTGTTTTATATTTTAGACACGTTGCAAATATTTATTAGATTCAATCTTACCAAAAGAATTAACCTTTTCAATTTTAAATTGGTTAATGGTATAATTTATCAAATCGTACAAGAGTTTAATAATTCGCAACCAGAAACGTTAGCTATTGATAGTTATCCATGGAATGAATTCTTTAAATCGTTAACAAATTTATTGTTATTCATAAAAAAGCACGATTTGGTAGCTACAAAACATATTACAGATTTGGGGAATGTTAATAAATTGAAGTCCCTAGTAGAAGAAATCTTTATAATTATCGATCTTTTATTAAATGAAAAATTCGGTAATATAATACAGATGACAAATGATGTGCAGAGTTCGGGAAGCCATATTTTAAAATCCATCAATTATGAATTACTCTATATCATATTATTAAACTACCATTCAGTTGAGAGCTTGATGAGGGACTTCTCTTTGGAAAATGCAAATCATTTGCCAAATTTACGAAATTGCATGAGCTTCTTGGATAGTAAATTTCATTTAACTGAAGAATCGAAACAAAAGGAAGAAAATAAGTCAAAAATAGATTTAATTGACATCGATTACGATTCTCCGGTTCTCATCAAAGAATTATCAGACTACGCAAAGTACCCAACTAATGAACCTGTTGACTCTGAAATAACGTACAAATATAAGGATACATTCAAATTTATTAACGCGTCAGACGTCATGAGTGATTCACAGAAGTTGAAAATATTTAACATAGCATTTGAGGTTTACTAGTATATACTATATATATATGTAAATTATTTACCATATTAATAACAGCAGAACATTTTTGATTCTCCAGTATCAGTAAACCAATCAAACATAGGACGAACAATATTAAGTTTCCTTCATTGTTCTGAAGAAATCCATACAAGTCGTGAAAACGACTAACAAGATACCACCACCTGGGCCCAATCTTAACACTTTTGGAATGAAACCTTTGTACAATGCACTGAATCCTTCTTCCTTAGCTACAGTAAGCAAGGAAGGCAAAGTCCACCTGTATCTGGTAGAACCAGCTTGAATTCTGGACTTAACAACGTCGAATGGGGTATTCAAAACAGTACCGAATGTACCACCGATTGTACCACAAGTCAAATCAATAAGAGTCTTTTCAGATGAAGTCTTAGGCTTTGGCATCAAGGTTCTGACTTGATGAATCAAACCAAAGTAACCAGCATTCCACATGATATGTCTCCACAAAGTCGATTCTAACCCCTTATACAATCCAAAGACACCATCAGTCTTGATTATATGCTTTAAAACTTCGCCCATACCATTGAACTTGGAGGTCTTATCTTGCAACTTGATCTTGACCAATTCGAATGGCACAACCACAAACGACTCAGTAGCACCTGCTGTAGCCCCTGTCAAAACTGCTAATGACTGATTCATGGTGGAAACACCAAAGAACCCTCTGTAGAACTTTCCCCATTCATCATTAGCCGCAAATTTGGTAGCCCTCTTAGGCGCTTCCATCAAAATTGGCGCCGAAATACCCTTGTACAACCTTGAGAATCCCTCCTCCCTAACAATTTTCTTTAAGCATCTAATAGTCCCGTTATATGCGTTGGTCGAGTCCAATTGTTGTCTAGTTTTAACCACATCCAATGGGTACATCACCAAAATTTCTGAAACCCCAGCAATGGCACCAGATGCAAATTGGTAAATAAATGGTAAAGGTTTAGGTGTTTCAGTTGACATTTTCTATTTCTGATCTCTATTATCGAACTTTATTGAATATAATTGGTAATCCCTTTTTATTAAAATACAAAATCCTTTTTTAATCCTAAGTTTAGAAATCAACAATTGAAATATTATTCTAACTCCGAGGACTACTACTAATTAAATACCATCAAACTTTTTTTATATGGATTAATGAAGACCCCACTCTGCAACTTTTCACCGGGAAATCAAGGTTCCGATATTTCACGTGCTGATAATTTGATAACCCATTATTGGGCAATTCTATCAACTTTTTCTACAAAGATAAGCGAAGGTGACGCGTCAATGCAAGACGCCTGGACGTATATACTATAGATGTAGGTGTCTATTTAGTTAGAATGGCGTAGAAACTATGTAAACATGTTATGTTATTGAGAAAGCGAGGGTCTCCGACACCTGTGACCCGGCGTTGATATGTGTGACACGGCCGGGATAGTATGCTGAGATATTGCTGGAGCCTGATCTTTACTTGTAGGATCGTACAGAACGGCGAGGGGCAAATGTGCTACGGGTTAACGGGCCAAGGGTCAAAGGGTCCGAATTACATTAAAGCTGTTTTTGTAGCGAACGGGAGTGGCATTCCATTGCAGAAAACACTAAATTGGGCTGCACTAGAACTAGACCCAAGGAAGAGGAAGTCAGCCATGGGCTGACTATCTCTCGTACTTGTCTGTAGTGTATAATGGAAGCACCTGGTAGTAGCAGTAGCAATGTATGGTATTAAACAGACGTACAAGCACAACTGGTAATATAGTTCAGCCCTGTGTGTAAAATCCGGGTAATCGCATCTCACCAATTCTCAACACTATAAAAAGTTCGGTCCACCATCGAGTGAAAAATATTTGCCTTTTCTTCTTTGTGCGGCAGCCAGAACTATTACCGTGTTGCTTGTCTTTTTCAGATATCCCAACGAGTTGGCGAGCGTCAAGTTCCTGGCGAGAATAATATCCGTTCAACCTTTGGTTGTTTGGAGCAAAGACCATCTTAACGCCCTTTCAGTAGTTTGAGTTACGTATTTCGAGGAAGATTTATCTTTCGCGGTGTATATTGGAATTATTGAGGGCTGGTAGGTCAAACATTCTCGTGTAGATGTAACCCAAGTAATTGTTGCAATTACTTTGGGTGGCAAGTCTCTAAGATAAGCTCTGTCTGTTTATTACAGGTAGCGAGTTGTTCATTGTAGTTATATTGATTTAAATCCATGAGCCTCTTACAATTGCAAACATGCAGTTGAGTACAACTCCGGCGATAATCGACATTTTTTGTCGTTTGTTGCACACGGTATCATCCCCAACGATGAAAATCAAGCTTAGAACCCCCAAAAATACACCCATCAAGAGTCCGAGTAGAAGGTCTTCGTTACCATTGGCATCGTCCAAATCGGACAGTGGATGCGGAGGTGCTTGTTGTTCTGCATTGGAAGGAGCGTCAGCATTGGTGGCAGCTGGAGTGCTGGCATTTCCTGGTTCAGTCGTATTCACGGTTGATTCTATCCATCTTTCCTCTAATTGTCTTATGGTGCTTTGCGCACGTTCCTCCTCTTCCAAATCATTGATCTGGTCTGTTCTTCTAGACGGTAAATTAGTTCCGTATATCAGAATGAATTGCCTCCGCAAATCATTGATATCTTCTTGAGAAAATCCTTGTTGCAATAAACGATCAAAACCTATCACTTCTGGAGCTGTCGTTCTCTGCTGTGGCTTATTATCTAACTGGTTTTCCTCTGCCAATTGCTCAGCCGTCAACTCCTCTCCAACAACACAGTGCACATATATCTTTTCGTCGACTTGCTCCCCTGATTGTTTCAGTTGCCTTAGTTTAGGCTCAAATATATCCTTCCTGAAATTCGTTGCTTCATTGAGGACCCTTCCATTATAAATTAACCTAAGTCTTTTGTTCCCACAATCATTTACTTTCTCTCTGATAGTTGCCTTCAACCAGTTGACATTTACTAGCTTATTAACATCATCCTTTTCAAAATTGATTGACAATGGGATATATAAATCATTTACTCCCTGAGCAGATGAAGATGTGCTGGTAAATCTTATAACAATAGTGTACTTCATTGTTTATACATAAGGAACTTCTAGAATTATAATAAGGGAGCCGTAGAATTCTCATAAATCTGAGTGCGATAAAACAGTTGTCAAGTAATTTAATTATTTAGCTGTCAAATTTTTAAACTAAATTAAATCAAGCTAATATGAGTTCGGTCCCAGAGAAAGCAAATCAAGTGAAAGAATCACTTAAACTGGATACTTATGAAGAAGAAGGTAATTTGAGATATGCAGCTTACGCTAATAGAATCCGTACTATTTTAGTTGCATCTCACCGTTATGTTGCATATACATCAGATATTGGTGAATCATTTCGTCCAGTAGCCCATCCATACCTAGTTAAAATGGGATATGGTGTATCGTGGTTATATATTCTCGGTGATGTTTCATATGCTGCATGGAAAGTGAAGACCAAATCTGAAGGCAAATACACTGAAGGCATGTATCCATGGAATTATCCATATCCTGAAGCCAACCCGGTTGCTGCTCGAGTATTCCAAGATACACATGAAGGTAGATTAGTCGACACCGACTGGAGATTAGCAGGGTTGAAGAGAGGTCTTTTCCAGAGTATTGCCTCGATGGGTTTGCCCGCATTCACAATCCATAGTGCCGTTAGATATTCGTCCCTTATGTTCAAGAACTCTTCCATCAAGCCATTGAAGACATACGGGCCCGTCGCTATTGGTTTAGGTATCGTTCCATTATTGCCTTACGTATTCGATGAACCATGTGAAATCGCCATCGATTGGATCTTTGATAAGGGCGAAGACCTCTACAAGAAGAAGTTGTCTTGATTCATATATATTACTTAGAGTCACTTATAGTTATACTTATCTGATACATACTTTCAATTGTGTAGGACTATCATTGAGGCTTCGAGTAGTTAAGTGTTCCACACTTTGCACAAGTCCTCGCTTCCATATCATTTTCGTACAGAAGAATGGCGTCTTTAACCTGAGTCCCCAAATCTGTACAGTGAAATTGTGCCTCGTGATTAATCTCTTTACAGTTCAGACAATACCACCTTAATTTATCGTCACAATGAGAAGGTCTGTCTTGTTCCACTACTAAACCGATGGTATTGGCAAATCTAACAGGATTATGCGGAGTATTAGGTGGTAAGAGGAACGAATCTCCCTCTCCGATAATAATATCTCTAAATTCGCCATCATCAACAACCTTTAAACACATCTCACCCTTCAATTGGTGGAAATATTCTGGGGTTTGGTTTATATGGTAATCAGTTCTTTCGTTTGGTCCACCAACAAGCATGACTGTAGAACCACCCCTATGGATACAATAGTTATTCACAGGCGGTTTCAACAAAGAACTATTCTCCTCAATCCATTTCTTGATATTTATAGGTTCAGGAAGCATTGGAACTTATTTAAGTTGATTTATATCGTTCATCACTAGTTGTACATTTCTTCCATTCAAATGTTCTTTAATCTCGGATAAATCGACCGATG